GTTAGCAGCTCTAGTTACCTGCAATCGAATTTAACATTCCAACATGACCGACTACTCGACGAAGATCAAAATGGCGTGATGATGGCTTGGGAAACGGACATCATGGCACAGTCCGCAAAAGCCCTTCTTCCCACCCCTGGCCTGCGTGTTCTAAACATTGGACACGGCATGGGGATTGTGGACAATCTTTTTCAAGTCCAAAAACCTAGCGCGCATCACATCATTGAAGCACACCCTGCCGTCATTGCGGACATGAAAAGCAAAGGTTGGCATGAAAGACCTGGAGTCACCATCCATGAAGGGAGGTGGCAGGACATCCTTCCAAAACTGATAGATGACGGGGAGACATTTGATGCAATCTATTATGACACTTTTGGCGAATCCTATTCCGACTTCCGAGAATTTTTTTCCGAGCAAGTGATCGGCCTCCTTGAACCGAGTGGCAGATGGGGTTTCTTTAACGGGATGGGAGCTGACCGACAGATAAGTTATGATGTATACCAGAAAGTTGTGGAAATGGACCTCTTGGAGGCTGGATTCGATGTTGATTGGGAGGAAATTAAAGTCCCTCAGCTAGAACAGGAATGGGTGGGAGTTCGAAGGAAGTATTGGGATGTGGATAGCTACAGATTACCGACTTGCAGATACTTAGACTAGTAGGTAGAAAGACCTACATTGTTCCACTTCTTCGTCCTCTATTTACCTATTCTTTCAAGCGAAAGCTAAATGGTGCGCTGAGAGTTGAGTTATGACAATCAAACGATGTAAGGAAGCCTATGCATCTAGTTAAGACAAACTCCAGATCCGCATCCGAATCCCTGCCCTGTAGGGCTGTGAGCATGAAATAATATCTAACCCTACCTGCCACCAAACAACTCGTCCCCCAAGTATTTTAAGCGGTTGTCCACGCCCCTTCAAAGCTCAGTTCATTCCTAAACGGAAATATCGGCCCAGTTCTACTTCTTATATCACGGTAGAGCAGGTGGAATAATGGGTTTTTTACAGTATATATATTTCCTCCAGTAAAATTCTGCAAATTTTGTACTCGTCAACGTCACAAATTCATATTACCTTCGAATGAACATATTTTCAACCGAGTATCTGACATGGAATGTAGGTAGATTTTAAATAGTATATGCTCCCTAACTCTATGTGCATTACGGAGCAGAACTAGCCTTTTCGTACTAAGGATCATCGAGCTCTGTCACAACCTGAAACTATGTGAACATAACAAAGGGAAGGAAAGTCCCTTTGACACAATAATATTGGGCTTCTTGGGATTCTTGGGTCTCCATACTTGCGAATATCTCAAAGGACTTTCCACTCTGAGGTGTAAATTGCGATCTTGGAACACCAAAGCCCAGCGCTGGGGGGTGGTTGGATTAAGGTTGATAAAGTGGCATAGGGCTTTGGTTCCGTTCCTTGCACCATGGTCGAAAGGGGAAAGGTTTCCGCTGCCCTAGTTAGTTAACGCTTCTAAGTGCTACTACTACAGGATGGGGAACAACAGAACATTTATTTATCACACTTCGCCAACAAGCTCTCAATCGCCCATTTTCTCCTTTCAGGGTTTGCCTTGGTAGCAATTATGGCTATCACGTTGTTGAGGGGTAATAAATTTACAGTGAGGTAAATAAAGCTTCACAGTAGGTTTGTTACATCAAAAAAAGAATTTGTTGCTATGAGAGAACTGAAGTCAGACATTTATCAGGTGAAACTTGAAGCTTGAGTTCAATATTCCCAGGTATCATAAATTGTTCACTTTGTCCTTTCCTCGATATGAAAACTGCTATCCGAATCCTATATCTCTACATTTTCTTCTATTTACACATGCAGTGCATCCTTGCATCGTTGTTTCCCATGCCAGCTTCGTGTAAAAAAAAATACTTCCGGTCAATTATACACATCTATTTACATCATTAAGCTCGTATGACTGTTGGTAAAGTGAGAAGAAATAGATATAACTACTTCAAAGCGTAAGATGTCCAAGGACGATCGCAAAGTCGCCCTCGCCGGCCCGCCCGTGAAAACTAGAAGAGTCAGGAGAGGCAAAGTTATCAAAATATCTCCAAGAAGCGCCAAAGGGGTATCCGATACAGCTCAAGCCAAGTTCATTAATGTTTACGTCTGCCGGGATGGCGATCTGAACAAAATTCCAGATACAGAAACGGATGGGGTCGTTGACATTGCATCCGGAAGAACGCACGTCGCGATTCTCACCCAGAGCAGTCGTATTTTGACTTGGGGGGCAAATGATAAATGTGCTCTCGGGCAGGATACCGTCCGGAAGCAAAAATTTAAAGCCGAAGGTGCAGGAGACTCACATTCGGATCATGCCGGTGAATGAGCCAGCAGCGATTCCGGGATATAGGTTCCCAACAGAGACTAAAATTGTTCGCCTGGCTGCCGCGGACAACGCTACTTTGGCATTGGCTGATGATGGCCTGGTTTATGGATGGGGAACCTACATTGTATGAGATCTGCTGATGTCTGTTGTATCTTATGTACATGGGTCGTAACACTGACCTTCGAACTAGAGGTGGGAGGGTAAACCTGGCTTTGGCCTTAATTCCATGAACGAACTCGTGGAAAAGCAGGCTGATCCTATCCTGATCCCGCGCCTTGCAAATATCATCCAGATCTGTGCTTGCACCAATTTTTGCCTAGCGCTGGGCATGGATGGCAAGGTATATTCCTGGGGTCGTGGTAAACAGAGCCAACTAGGCCGCCGCCTCGTGGTCTCTCGTACTGAAAGCGCTAGGCACTCTACAACGAGCATTGAAACACTCCAAAACAAGATGAGCTTTGTTCCTGGGATTGTGCCTCTACCCAAAGCCGAGAAAATCGTCTCCATCCACGCCGGATCTGACCATGCCTTCGCCATTGATGCCAAAGGCGATACATGGGCATGGGGCCTGAACAACTTTGGCCAGACTGGAATCGCTGCCGGAGCTGGGGTCAAAAGTGGCACAGTAGCTATGCCGAAGAGGGTTCCGTCGCTTACCGGCAAAACCATGAAAATGATCGTTGGTGGGAACTTCCACTCGATAGGGATTACCCAATCTGGCGAATGTCTCGTCCGGGGCCGTTTGGATGATTACCGCTCGAAACCCTGCCAACTGAAGACCCTACGAAGGTCATCCTTACGGATGGAAAACCAAGTATTCTGCTAGAGCCCACTCCACTCCCTTACTCCGGATGCACATACGCTGCCGCAGGTGCCTATCACAGCCTTCTTGTCACGGATGAGTGCAAAGTTTACTCATGGGGCCTCAATCCCCGCCGACAGTGTGGCCAGGGCATAGATGAACGACATACCATGGTTCCAACTTTGATCGATTCTGAGTCGATCCGCAATAGGAAGATTTCCAGGGTTGGATTTGGCGCTCAATATACTCTCATCGCGTCAGCTCATCAGGGTGTTGAACTGGATGAGGCCCCAGTCAAAAAACTCGAGAAAATTTGAAAATTCGGATTGATCGTCCTCTCGCAATTTCCCAAAAGGAGTGGTTATTCCTGAATAGGGTGGGCAGGGATAGCAAAAGGAAATACGAACGGCATCCATCTTCACTGATCCGTTAATGAGACGATTATCTTTTGCAATATTATTGCGTGTATTTGTACGTTTAGAATGTCTTTTTGTGTTGGTTTTTCATTCTATAACTGGGTTGCCTTTCGCTTCGTCCTGATGTTTTTATTAATTTTGCTGAGATCCGACAAGGGAGACTAGTCATGTATTCTCTATTTGTCACAATGAATTTTAACCGGAAAGAGAAGTTAATTAGTAGATATATCCAAAGTGAATTCCAGCGAGTATTGTGGTTTTAAGGGAAAGAGAAACTTATAAGATATTGCAATATGTCGGATTTAATGGATGATCCATCCAATCCATCAAGCCGACTATCCTTTCGGTAGTGTAGATATGGCCATGTAGAATATATGAAGGAGATATACAGCGGCGCATTCATTCGTTCAGCTTGTTAGCAGTCATTATTCATCTCTTATGCCTTCACGGGCATTTTTCCAACAGTTCAAATATTGAACTTCCAGTAATATCGTCTGCTTTGATATCATCCTCTATCTAGAAGTCCACTGGTCCAACCACTTCTCTCCCTGGGTCTTCGGCGGCTTGCACAGAGCCAGATATATAGCCCGCACTTCATGCTGCCGAGCTTCAATGGTCGGGGATAGTCTCGCTTCTAACGCCCTAATCATCTCATTGATATCCACCCGGGTCCACATGGACAGTGCTTCATTTGTTCCGCAGAGACGGTTTCCCCTTCTTCATCGTTTCGTACTCAGCTAGTTTAACTTTCCATACAGTCATTCGGATATCCCATTCAGGTCCTGTCCCCGGCTGTAAAGCCTTTTGGCTCTGGCATTTCGGGCTTCTTAATGTTTTTTTGCCATATGGGGTTTTTTGATATCCACGAAATCAACTCTCTCGTTGAGAGTTGCAGTATGAACGCATACCATGGCTTCTAGTCCCTAGAGAAGGAAAGGCGTATGGCTTTTGCAATAATATCAATCGAGCAGCCATAATAAACGCTGCTATTCGTATTGATGCGGTGTAATCAAGTCCTTATTGAATAGTATAGGAAGAGGAATACTGAATAACCTGTACTAATGTATGCTCAGGCGTTCATGCTGAAAACAACCTCGGGCTCATAACTGTTAAAAAAATGCTCGTAAAGGCATAAGAGGTGAATAATGAATGTAACTAGTAGTACGGAGTACTAGCTAAACAAATGAATTCAATCTGCTGGCTTGATGGATCGGATGGATCTTCCATTAAATCCGACACTCACAAACCAAGGAGTAAGGCAGCATTTTTAAAAGCACCAGAGGTTCAGCAGTTAATTAGGCAAACCACAGTGCCAAAATTTTCTTCTTAAAAATAGTATACTGATGGCGATATATAGAAGCATCTTGCAAAAAATTTGTATTTGTTCGTTGAGAAGAAGTAGTTCCCCCACGGCCTCAAGCCCTATATTAAATAAGCCGGGCTAGCTCAATCGGTAGAGCGTGCGGCTCTTAGATCACCATCGTGTGACCGCAAGGCTGCGGGTTCGACCCCCGCGTTCGGCTTCCCCTTTTTATTTTTATTTTTCTGCCTCGTTTTTTCCCATTTTTATTTTAAATATTTCGAGTACGGAGTAGCTTCTGCTCATAATTCCTTCCTCCGGGCCGGATTCACATGTGAGCATTTCTTTATTCCAAAAGTCCTTTTCTGGTATCCTACTCTGTTCATTATAACTAATGGCCCCTTTGCCACAGTTACCCTGTTCATGATGGAATATGAGTTTCAAATGACAGTATCCTGGAAACCAGTTTCACTTCCTTGCCCCTCGGCCCCAGTTTCTACCGGTTTTTTTGTGCCAAAAACGTCATATTAATCATCCATAATAAATGTAGCTGCTCATTGGCTTGTTCCAGGTCAACAATCAGAGTAGCTTTGGCCATGGCATTTTGTAGTCCCAGGCTGCGCCTGACCTGCTCCTGTCAGGAAGGACACATTGGGATCAGAGGGCTGCCTTCTTTACTTCGGCATATACTCCGTACAAATACAAATATTTTTCCTGACGCGCTGCTATGAGGCGGCGATTTAGTGTTGACGGCCTCCGCCGACGAACTAGCAGCTTTAGAGAGCACCTGTCTCCCCTGCGACGCTATTCTTCGCAAAGCGAGGTCGACACAATGCACTTCTCGTGGCAATCGGGCCGCGCGCGGCTTGTAATCACAGCTGATACTCGACACTTTGATCAGGAGACGATCCAGCATTTCAAAGATGAAGGGTTTGAGGTTGCGTATTTGCCGTACAACGGGGTCGATAGAGAATATAATAGCCAATTGCAGATGTTGGAGGATCCGCTGGAGCTAGGGGAGAAATATGCTATAGTTGGTACGTGAATAGTTTTTGATTATTTAAGAGTTGCGGCAATATTTTTTTTTTCACCCTGTTCGACCGAAGCCAAGTATTTATAAATTATTTGCGAACAAATTTTGATGGCTGAAAAACTTATCCCACCCCCATCTCCAGCATATGGTGAAGCCGCAGCCTTAGTCCTAGAAGCATGCACAAAGCCAATGCCAAAACTATGTGCCGTTGTCGCATACTACCCTCCCCGAATCCCACAACCAACAGGGGACTTTCCCTCGCAATTGAATATAAAAATCCATCTTGCCGGAATGCAACAGTTCAGCGGGAAGCATAACTGTCACACATACGTGCATGCGAAATCTGGTTTTGCGGAATTGGATAGTCCTGAATATGACGAGATTAGCGCACGGTTGGCTTGGTCGCGCACGCTGGCGTGCCTGCGACAAGGGTTTGAGATCTATCGAGATATCGAGCCTGTGTGGGAGCGGCATGTCAATATGATATATACCGCGAAGGATGTGAAGGGGGCCATGCAGACGATGACAGAAGACTCGTATGTGAATTTTATACCTACTATGACGGGAGGTATGTTTACGGATCCTTTCCTCATCGCCTAAATAATAATACTATTTGAACCCAGCCTTTTTTTTTTTTACAGAAAAGGGGGTAAGCTAACTTTCTATTAATAAGGATACGGCAGTGATGAACTCTCCCGCTTCTACGCCGACTACTTCATCCCGGGAAACCCGCCCTCCCTGAAAATGCGCCTCATCTCCCGTACCATCGGCACCGACCGCATCGTTGATGAAATGTACATCACTTTTAGACACACGCAGGAAATCCCATGGATGCTCCCCGGCATACCGCCAACCGACAAGGAAGTTTCCATTGCGCTCGTCAGCATAGTTACCATTCGTGGTAAGAAACTTTGCCACGAAAATGTGTATTGGGACCAGGCCAGTGTTCTTGTTCAATTGGGACTATTGGACCCGAAATACGTTCCAGCTGGGTTCAGCGGTGTGGTTCGAACTAACGGTGTGGGAAAAAGCGGGGAGAATGAGAGAATTAATGACCAGAAGCTTGATACTCTTCCTGTCGTTGGTGCTAAGGGGGCCTGGAAGGTGTTTGACGAGGAGTCGGAGAGGAGTAATGAGCTGATACGTGATTGGTAATGATGACGGTGATGGCGATGACAATGTTACCGTTCAGCAAGGTGGTTAAAAGCATACTAAACTACAAGTCGGACTGCAATTGGAAGGCCCAGCAAGGGACCCGGAACAATGGTTGACGACACGGACGACAACCCTCGCGGAGCTTGACTTTCGATTAAAATCTTGGGATGGTTCATGAGACCTCCATCCCCACTCTTAATACCGAATATTTCGGAATGCGCAAAGTAACGCCTGTTTGTCGGGTTGAAGTCGCTTATGAACCCCTGCAATGATATGAACACGTTCAAAGCTACAACTAAATGGTTACACTTTGATTTACATATGGAAAATATGCCACCCTTGGGATGCTGCATGTACTGGTCCAGAGACTGTTCATGAATAATGAAAAAAACCATCTGCCCTCCCCCCCTCCTGCTGTAATAAAATATCCAAATATCGAATTGTTTGCAAACCTTCCGATTTTTTTAATGTTTATGTTTCCACATATATATATATACATGTATAATAATCTAAGGCAATTTGTTTGTTCATCCTATTACTTGGAATTTAATCACGGCTCTATATTCGCCGTAACGATCTCGCCAGATCTGAAATCTCCGCGTTCACAGCATCTGCACTCTTCAGCGTTTCTACGCTAGCTCTTTGCGCCACAGGAAGGATATCTTCTAACTTTCTCATACCCATATCATCCCTCCCTTCACCCTGAGCCAACCCTGCAACAATCACCCCAAGCAACGTATCGCCAGCCCCATTCACGCTAACCACATCCGCATCCGTCAATATTTCTGCCGGTGGGAAGAGCCGCATATACACCCCACCATAATGACTGTTGCTGCCATCCGCATACGACCGGCCCAATATATACCGTGCAGAATCCGCAGAGCGAAGCCTCTCATCACCAGGTGGCAAGACTTGTGTAAGTAAAACGCCCTGCGGGCCCAGTTTGGTGACAATGCAAGGGATGAAGGGCAGGAGCTGAATGCTTTGCTGGGGGACGCCCGCATCTACAAGCTTAGAGTTGGTGATCGCGACGAGTCGATCGCGGGAACCGCTACTGGGCATCTCTAGCGAGTTAATGACTTGCCACCACTCAGCACTTTCGAAGAGGCCGGACTCCCGAGCTGTATTGTACATGGTTGAAAGTTCGAATTGGTTGGGGGTTGCGAGGTCGATCAGGTGGTTTGGCATTGCGAATGACGGTTGGATGATGGACTTGGAGCTTGGTAGCGATCGTGTGAAAAGGCGGGTTGATTTTGCGTTCGATACGGGTTCATATGCGATTTTGGCGCTGTGAGATTTCGCTAATGAAATCCATTTTGTAAGGACGTCTGGGCTCCAATTTGCATCGATGACGACCCAGCTGGGTTGTGCGCGTTGGATGAGAGGATCCCAAAAGCTATCGAAATCAAGGGACTCCTCGGAAGTTTCCATGATGCTCATATCTGCCATTGCGAGCATGAGGTCTTTCTTGGCGTCGTTGACGGAGACATATTGAGCAGTCCTGGCGCCAGTGGTTGGGTTGAGTATCTGGATCCCTTGAGAATATAAATTTGAATGAGATTTTTCCAAAGCAGCGAGAGCTGCCCGGCCGCTGAGATCGTCTGCGACGACGCTACAAAAGAGAACGGAGCTGCCGACGTAACTTGCTGCTATGGCTACATTGTGGCCGACTCCTCCGAGGCTTTGTCTTATGATTGAGGGATTGGATGTCCGGAGAGCAGGGGTACCATCACCTTCCATTGACACAGGTGTATAATCGCATGCAAAGTCTATGGCCAGGGAACCGGCGACAAGTATATTAGTCTTCTCCACACGGTTTACTGCGGGTTTGAGAGCAACTGCTGCTGGAGCAAGGGGCTTGGTAGAATCTTGAGTTGAAAGAGACTCTGGCGATAACGGAGAGCTTGCAAAATATCCTGGCATGTGTCTACATAGAAAAATAAATATACCCAAATCAGCCAGCGCCTCCGATCAAAATTAGCTACAAAATTAGCTCACCGATTCCCTTCTGCAGGACGTCCTGTTTCCAGTTTGGCAAGCTCCACGGCAACTTTGGCTCCCCGCTCCACATTACATTCGACGAGCGCTGTGTTTGCCGCCACGCTTTTACCACCACTCAGCTCTTTAATTTTAGCTAGAACGAAAGGGGTATTATCGCTGCCATGGACGCCTTCAAGTTCAGAGAGCTCCAGGGCTTGCTCAATTATACCATCGATCTCCTGCTTCGGGAAGGAAAATTTCTCTGGGACTGGATTGGCAAAAACCAACCCTGAGGATATGTTTAAACGCGATTGTGCATCTAAAGTATGTTAGGAACCCTAGAGATTTCGAGTACAGAAACCAAGGAGATGTAGTCGGAATATCAACTATCAGGAAGTAAGGCAATACGCGTATCAGTAAACTTACATATGATGGCAGCAGCTTCCGCTTCATCGTAGATGACTTTTGGTGCTTTTATCCCACTGTTCCGAGTGTAAAAGGCAGGGAAATCCACTCTTCCCTTACGGCCATCCGCAAAAGCCCCAACTAGAACTCCCTCGGTCTCGAGGTATTCGAGCGTCCGCCGGATATCTAAAAAGCTCTTACAACCGGAGCTGATAAGCGCAACAGGGGTTCGCCCAAGCTCAGTCAGGTCGGCTGCAGATGTTTAGCATTTGGGATGTTCAAACCAACTGCAATTTGCAAGCCTCACCAGATATATCCATAGAACTTTCCCCGCCGCGGTGTACCCCTCCTGTTAGACGTTAGAGCCTAGAATAATAACAAAAAATTGCTAACAACATGGGTGAACGTACCCAAGCCACCAGTAGCAAAGACCTTGATCCCGGCAAGATGAGCTAGCACCATGGTACCAGCAATTGTCGTGCCGCCGTTCATTTTCTTCCCACTTAGGCCCTATTAAACCGTCAGTGTTCGTGGCATGCTGCGGTTAGGGTACGTTTGAGATTTTACCAGGCCACATATATATCCTAGGTCTCTACGGGATACCTTCAAAACCTTTTGGGTTTCTGATGAGGATGCGAGTTCAGCGAGCT